CACCAGTGTCAAGCTTGGTGGAATCTACATAAAGTCCCTTCTTCCCAATGGTCCAGCTGATATGGACGGCAGGATACAAATTGGTGACCGTATCCTGCAGGTGAATGGTATCAGTCTTGTGGGCGTCACACACAAACAGGCAGTAGAGACTATAAAAATGGCTCCTTATAGGACAAGACTTATCCTGGATCGATCAGTTGCTGTTAATGTTCCTAAGTCATCTGGGAAGAAAACTAGGTCCCATCCCCCTGACAAGCCATTTGTGGTAGAGCTTTCAAAGGGTGTAGGAGGCCTTGGCCTTAGTTTGGTTGGTGGCAAGGGAGCTGGGGAGGAGCATGGAGGTGAGCTGGAAAAGTTCCAAAAATTCTGCTACTGTGTTTTGTTGTACTTGTTAGTTGGTGGTAACTGGACCTTGAAAATAAGGAAAAAAAGATAGTTGGTGGTTGCTGGAGTTGAAAACACATCAAGTGAAACTTTTATTGCATATTTTAAGTGTTTTAAACTTTAATTTTTATTTGGCTGAATAGAGAACTTGTCAAGAGAGTAACAAAAACAAAATGTCAGAAAAAAATTGGGCCATTCAAATGCTTTAGATTCTGATTTCAGTTTTTACATTTTTTCATTTTTATTATTTCTTTTTAGCCTTGGATTAGTCAGAGTTTAAATTCAATTTCCTGCATTACCTGCATTAATCCTGCTTTAAACTTCAAGGTCATGATAGAGTGCTTTTTGTCACTGCTTTACAGACAAGTTCAGTTTTTCATTTTGCTGCAGAGGTACTCATTGTAGCATGTCTGTTGCATGTTTAGGTTTCCTAAGAATCAAGAAGATGTTTCCAGGGCAACCAGCAGCAGCTTGCGGTAAACTTCAGATTGGTGATATTGTTCTAGAAGTTAATGGAAAGGACATGCAAGGTGTAACTCACCAAGAAGCCATCAATCAAATTCGCATGGGTCCTCAAGAAGTAAGGCTTCTTGTCAAACGAGACCCATCCTCTATTCCTCCCTCCCTGTTACAAAGATCAGGCTCTAATGCCAGCGATGTGGACCCCGCACAAATTCTGGCAGACATCCAGAACAAGCTTAAAACTGATCACTCACCATCATTGAGCAAGAGGTCTTCTGATTCATCAACTAGGGAAAAGCCTTTGCTTAGAGAAGAAGTTGTTAGGGTGCAAGAAGCATCTGCCACTGAAGCTCCTGTTAGTTTGAGGTCTAGTTTGATGACCAATGAACCAGTAAAATATCCTCATTTATCAGAGTCCAGTCACCCTAACCTCACCAACAGACTCTCTGAACCAGTCATGCAGGTTAAGAAAGAACACTACTCTCTGACTCCAACAAATTCTCTTCCTAATGTTGTATCAGTCAGACCCTCTGAAAGTCCAAAAATCAACCGACAAGCCGCTATTCAACAAAGTGAAGATGAAGATGCTGATGTATCATCTGTTGGTGATGCTCCATTAGCTGAAGATGAATCTAGTGATGTTGAAGACTCAAGGAGGTCTTCCTCTGTTGACATCATTCCTCGTGATCGTTCTATTTATGATGAGGAAAGCGTGAAGGAGCTTATGGGAAAGTTGTCCTCCATTGAATCCACAGAGGAGGAACCAGTTGAACCAGAAGTCACAGAATCAACACAAATGTCTGTTGTAAGCAGTGAGCCACCTTTGCAGAGTGAAGCCTTTCCTTCTCCTTCCTCATCAGAGTCAGAGTCTGAGGAAAGCGATGTGGAGGAAGCACTGATGATTGACAAAAGGGAGGAAGTGTCTGCTTCCACATCAGGGGTTGAGGATGACAAAGAACCAGCCAGCATGACTCCTCAGGAAGAGGTAACCCAGCTGGTTTTTCCCTCGGCTGTGATCACCTGTGTAGCTAATTCTGGTCTTGATTCAGTTTCCCAGTGATAAAATTTGCAAGTTGAGTGAAAAAGCTGCAAGAATAAAGCTTTCATGTAGGTGGCAAATTTATAGAGATTTGCGATGCTTTGACTGAAATAAGAACCACAGAACAAACACCTCTAGCTCCTACAGTTTTTTGTGGCAAGTAAATTAAACCCTTACAAGTAACTATGTAAATGAGGGACTTTTTTGTTCTATTTAAGTTTGTCCTTGAATAACCAATTGAAGTGCAGGTAGAAAAGTACTAGTGTATGGCCAGTCAGTTGAAAGCTATCATTGATTTAACATAAGTGACATAAGTGTTTTTTGGCATAACACTTATGTGATATTAGTTGTATTTTTTTCTTTTTGTTTTGGATATTGTATGCCAAATTGAATTGTGGATTTTGTTTTTTAATAATTCAACCCCAGATATTACACATAGAGTTGGTGAAAGGTTCAGGTGGTCTTGGCTTCACTCTGTCAGGAGGGGCAAACACTGTAGGTGGTTGCTTTGTTCGTGACATTGTTGGTGGTCCAGCTAAGGAGGATGGCCGTCTTCAACAGGGAGATCAGATACTCATGGTAAGGAAACTATTCAAATGTAGCATTGAGGCTTGCTTCTGCAGCCTACTTTCTTTTTTCGTTAATTGTTTAATTCTCATCCTATCTCAATTACTTTCTCTGGTGGACATGCCCAGGAAAGAAGGTGCTCTGTGATTAAATATAGTTAAATTTCAATTTAAGATAGTTAACGGCTAGGAGCTAGTCTGGTCAGTAGTGTTTTTGTAGGCGGTTGTTAGTGTCTTGGCCGTCTGTTAGCATTTGTTTAGCGTTTTATGCATTCTGTAGCATTTGATATAGTTCAATGAAATTTTACATAGTTTATGACTAGGAGCTACTCTGGTCAGTAGCATTTTTTGTAGGCGTTTGATAGTGTCTTGGCCATCTGTTAGCGTTTGTTAAGTGTTTGGTGCGTTCTGTAGCATTTGCAGCAGCCAAATGGTCGTGGGAGCCCTGGGGTTGACATTGTCTGCAGTATTCTTCGTTACTACGTGTGTTGTTGTCCCATGTGCTTGCAGTGTGTTCGTTGCTCTGTTAGTGTGGCGTTGTGGATTGAATTATAAGCTCGTGGCTTGGTTGTGGGTTGGGCAGGCCAGTCGGGTGTTCTAGCACCTTGGGGATGTGACTGCGGTTGAAGCCCCCAGGCTTTCTAGGCACCTTCCCTCCACTAGCGACTTGGGTGTTAAACAGAAATATGGTGTGATAGTGGTGACTGGATTGGTTTAACTGCTATCACCATTACGCTGTACTACATGTACTGCATGTCTATTTCTTAGACATACACGTACACAACATTGAATTGGTGAGCCAGGGGTATCACAAAATTAGCGCTAGAGGAAAATAAAATAGAATAAGAGGTTAAATATTAAGTGTCTCAACTACTTTTGTCGCCCGTTGTAGACTAGTTAGGATCCCATTAATGATGCAATTATTAAAAACGTTTGGTCAGACTACCAATACACTATCCTCCGTAGGAAAAAAGATGGCGACTGGTACATTTACCCATAATTCTTAGCGCGTGAAAACCTTAACAATGTTCATAAAAATGTACAGAAACATGATAAAATCTTCAAACCTAGGCTACTCAATGTCCTTATAGCAAAGGGGAAAATGTTGTAAAAATTTGGCTTTTTTTGTGCCCTATTGGCTGTGTTAGGTTTGCAAGGTATTGTGGTAAAATGTACAGCCGCCATCTTTTTTCCTACAGTGGATTAGGTACAGTTGACTCTACATGTAGAACACTATTCTACATGTTAAAATTGCTTGTAGTAGCAAGTTGTTCTTAATAAACAAGCTGGTCATAAGGCAGGTTACACTGCATGTGACTGTTTCTTAACTTTTTCCTTACTAGGTGGATGGTCACGACATTTCAGCAATGAAGCACATGGAGGCAGTTAATGTGCTAAGAGCCACCAAGCAACATGTCAAGCTTGTAGTGCTTAGAAGACCTACAGGGGTGAGCTGCCATATGCATATTGTTACTTTTTTCCCAATGAGGTCATTGCCTGTTGTTTGTTTGTGAGTGAGTTGTATGAATTTTGCAAATTTATTTGAACACTGAAATAAAGTCTGATAATGCTTTCACAAACCGCACAATGTATTTGAAATTCATAACTTACATTAAATAAATTAAATGAAGTTTTTGTTTGTTGGTTTGTTTGTTTGTCACCATATTTACCATCTAAATAAATTTGCAGTTAGTCTCTCCTAAGATATAGCGACATGATTATTATTGACAATTCACTTGGTCTCAGAAAAACCAGATCAGACTTAAATCTCTACCTCTATATTATGCCAGCACCTCATTAATGCAGACACACAGCTCTGCCAGGCCCGATGGTGTCCATATGCAAAGAAGCTAAATGTGTAACTACAATAAGTAACACCTTTTTTTGCTTTGTTTGCTTTGAAGCTTGTTGGCTCAACTCAGTCAGGTGTTGTGGAGGTTTTAAACCTGACAAGAACAACACAAGGGAGAATTGGCCTGCTGATAAGAGAAGGTGAAGATCAGAAGATCTTTGTGGAGGATGTTGTACCAGGAGAGCCTGCAGCCACTCAGGGAGATCTTCGACAAGGAGACAGGATATTGGAGGTGTGTATTAGAGTGCTGTCGTGATAACAGATAAGATTATACAATGTGCTAATAATTTTTGATATTTAGCCTAGAGATCTAGGGATGAAAGTTTGAGAGTTTGCATGGGCCAAGATTTTGTTATGTTGAATATGTATGGTATCCCAGTGATCACTACTTTGAGAATTGACCTGTCCATGTTCTTATTTTGTGTTTTGTAAGGATGTTCAATGCTTTAAGACAGAAAATTCACAAGTTTTGAAGTTACATTCAGAGTTTGATAATCCAAGGTTACCACATGCAGCTACACAAGATTGACACCTTGTTGTTGATTTTGATTTTGATTTTCAACTTCTACCTTATCCAGATCAATGGTACCAAAGTCGACGGCCTTGGCTTTGTGGCAGCTAGACAGCATCTTGATGCTGCAAGACCAGTCGCTCGTCTGTTGGTGGAAAGAAGGCCACGACTGGCTGAATCCAAATATGCCATGGCTCAACAGACAAATTCTGAAGTGCTGAGCCCCTCGCAGTCTCTTGATATCCCAGATAAGGACATGACAGGCTCCAGTGATGATGATGGCTATGAAAATGATGATAAGAGTGAAAAGAGAGAGCCCGATGATGAAGATGAAGAATCTCAGGTAGGTTTTACCTCTGTCACTCCACTGCAAATAAAGCTTCTCTTGTTATTAACATGTTACTTTGTCTTCTTTATTTGTCTATATAGGGTGAACAGTTTAACATGAAGCTTGACAAAGGCCCACGTGGATTCGGCTTCAGTTTGGTAGCTGCACCAACCTTCAGTTCAGATGTGAGTGATAATACAGCTGATTTGGTTACCAGTCATGAATCTAATACAGTTATTGCATGTTTCAGTTTGATTGCTGTAAAACTGAACACAGACATTTGATGTGTGAGTTATTGTCCCGTTAAATTGTTTGGTTCTATTTTGTAGGCACAAGGAATTTTTATCAAGACAATAAGCCCTGGTAGTGTGGCAGAGAGTGATGGCAGGTTAAGGGTTGGAGACCAGATCTTGAAGGTAACCTGTTTTGGTTTTTTCAGAGGCTTTTTTTTAAACTAAAAATAATAAGTTGCATGTTCGACTGTCTATCAATTACTGACTGGTATTACAACGGTGACATGATATTTGAGGATATGGTTATAACAATATTACTGTTCAAATTATATATACTTTATTGCTTCAAGTGCAACCTCATGCATATTATTTTCTTTTGTCCCATATCACTAGGTTAATGGAGAAAATGTTCAAGGACTTAGTCATGCAAGGGTTATTGGCATGTTGAGAAAAATCACGGGGACAGTGGAACTAGAGATAAAAAGGTGTGTACCCATAACAGTGTTAACAGCTCCATATTGACCTGTAGAGACCAGACCAATGTACAGGGTTTGCATGTGCCTTGAAAGTCCTAGAATTTGAAAATATTCAAGGCCTTGAAAGACTGTGAAAACCACATTAGACCCTGATAAACCGTGAAATATGTTGTTTGATTGTTTTCACGTAAAACAAGAACAAATTAAAAAAGACTTGTAAAAAAAATTGAACAGATCTGGCAGGTATCTCTTAACCTGAGCATCTAGTGTCATATTATAGGTGTGGTACTTTTCTAGTGGATACCTGAATTTTAGCATGTGTAAAACAATCCAATTTTGTTAATGAAAATTGAATTATTAGTTTAAAAAACTCACATATTTGAACTGCGGAGGATGAATCGTGTCTTCAGTTTAAAAAACTCTTATCAACTAATACATGGGAAACAAAGTTTGTGAAGTTTGATCCTTGTCAGCACGTTAAAGTCCGAACAAGAAATTAATTATTGTAAAGTTATTATTTCTTACTTGTGAAAATGTGTTGTATTTAGGGTATAGTGGTCTGGTATTCAACCTGATGAGTAAAAATGACAGTTTGATAAACAATCTGATCAAAACACCAGTGGTAGGATGAGGTGAACTGACATCCTATCCACAAGGGATGGCAATACTCTTACTGTAATTGTCTTATGCCATGGAAACCAACAACTTAAGTACTAAGAGAAGCATAAGCCACTTGGTTGACAAGTGTGCAGCCTTTAGATAATGTTCAACTTATTTTTGCTAATATCATTACTCTATTATTTATTGATTACCAGACCGACTAAACTCTATATGGCTGATTCTGCCATCACATCTCCACAATCACCTGCAGAACCATCAGGGGCCACAAGAGGCCCTCTTGAGAGAGCACCTCACTCTATAGACCTTGACATCACCCTAGAGGACAAGGATAAGGTGTGTGTCCATGTCCCTTTATCTGTATCAGAATCAACAAGCTGAATTCTTGGTTTTTACCAGTCATGTGATCAAAACTAAAACTCGTAACCATTCAATAAATAAATTCAAGAATCTGGGATATGATAGATGATTGCTATATAGACAACCTCACCAAGAATCAGGTTTCTGCTGTTTTTCATTCACACGTTATTTGTGGAAGNACCGTGAAATATGTTGTTTGATTGTTTTCACGTAAAACAAGAACAAATTAAAAAAGACTTGTAAAAAAAAATTGAACAGATCTGGCAGGTATCTCTTAACCTGAGCATCTAGTGTTATATTATAGGTGTGGTACTTTTCTAGTGGATACCTGAATTTTAGCATGTGTAAAACAATACAATTTTGTTAATGAAAATTGAATTATTAGTTTAAAAAACTCAGACACATATTTGAACTGCGGAGGATGAATCGTGTCTTCAGTTTAAAAAACTCTTATCAACTAATACACGGGAAACAAAGTTTGTGAAGTTTGATCCTTGTCAGCACTTTAAAGTCCGAACAAGAAATTAATTATTGTAAAGTTATTATTTCTTACTTGTGAAAGTGTGTTGTACTTAGGGTATAGTGGTCTGGTATTCAACCTGATGAGTGAAAATGACAGTTTGATAAACAATCTGATCAAAACACCAGGGGTAGGATGAGGTGAACTGACATCCTATCCATAAGGGATGGCAATACTCTTACTGTAATTGTCTTATGCCATGGAAACCAACAACTTAAGCACTAAGAGAAGCATGGTTGACAAGTGTGCAGCCTTTAGATAATGTTCAACTTATTTTTTGCTAATATTATTACTCTATTATTTAATGATTATCAGACCGACTAAACTCTATATGGCTGATTCTGCCATCACATCTCCACAATCACCTGCAGAACCATCAGGGGCCACAAGAGGCCCTCTTGAGAGAGCACCTCACTCTATAGACCTTGACATCACCCTAGAGGACAAGGATAAGGTGTGTGTCCATGTCCCTTTATCTGTATCAGAATCAACAAGCTGAATTCTTGGTTTTTACCAGTCATGTGATCAAAACTAAAACTCGTAACCATTCAATAAATAAATTCAAGAATCTGGGATATGATAGATGATTGCTATATAGACAACCTCACCAAGAATCAGGTTTCTGCTGTTTTTCATTCACACGTTATTTGTGGAAGTGTGTCACCCAAATTTATAGAGCTTTGTATGGAGACACCATGTTTGTGCCCTTCGGAGGGTCACAAACATGGCAGCCGTAAAATAACAGAAACATTTTTCACTGAGTTTTGCTACTGAAATGAAAAATGTTCACTCTAGAGTTCCGACACATTGAAATAAACACCTCTTCTAGTGCAAGCACCATTTAGATAGCGAAAACTAAAGCGATAACTCATCTTTTGACCTACGCGACAGCCTTTTTGGGCTGCCATTTTCATGTCACGCAGCGCAAAAGCTGGGAAATTCAAACATGCTCTGTTACAAACAGAAGAACCCCTAAAACATTGTCAAACGTCAAGTGCCTATAGAGTCTTTTGTGTGATGAAACTAAAACCTCAGAAGAAAAGGTGATTTTTAATTTTGGAATATGACTACGTTACATGAAAACCAAGAATTACACTCAATTGAGATCAGCCCGATTTAATGTTAGGGCAATATTGAACATAAACATGAATGTCTGGGTATCTGAGTCAAACCTAAGTCTAACCTTCAAGCTAAGATTACAGTTTAATCATTGATTCAATCTTTTGTTTAAGTTATGATTTGTAAGATACTGCTTCAGAATGGTAACAGCAATAAAGCTATTTCATATAATAATCTTAACAGTTAATTTTTGCCCATTAGCCTTAATGCCTTTTATAAACTCTAACTAACAGTCTTGAAATTGTTTTTTAAAATAACATTAATTAACTCAAAACAAAAGCTAAACTTCAGTGATTGAACTTGTAAGTAATGCAAGAAAAAGCCTGAAGCAATTAAAAGCCTACATTCTGAAGTAGAGGTCATGCTTTAATTCTTTACCAAATATGGTTTAAGTCTTGATAACTGAATAATTCTCTTTTTAGCAGCATATTACATTACATCACCTCCTCTAAGATGACACCTGAAACCATCATTACATTGGCATTAAAATTGGCTGATTTGTCATTCAAAACAATTAACTTTACTCTAGAGCTGGAAGAATATCGTATTATGCTGACACAGTGTTAAATGATCTGATAAATTACTAAAGGCCGCTTTGTTATTTAGGGCTGTTCAGCCCATGCTCTGAACTGCACCTTTTCCTGTTATGCATATCTTTAAAAGCTCATTTTAAAGCTTACTCACAACTTCCCTTTCATCTTTCTACTGCATGCCAGAGTGGGGCTCTCCTATACTAACACCAAGATTTTACAGAGGACAGATTTAAAATGCTTACTCTTCTCTTTGCAGTAAGTTTCTTCACTTAAATGTTGGTTTATTTACCGTAAATTTCCCTCAGACATGTTCTGACCTTGGGGTCACAATTGACTAAATGTTAGGCTTGTGTCTAAATCATTCTATGGATTATAATTTCTCTTGAAATGTCTTGTAATTGAGTTCCAATTTAAACAAGAAAATCATGAATTCTTTCGTTTTATTAATGTGAAGAGATTTGTTCTTTTTCTTTTAACAAAATCCTTATGAAAACAATATTGTTAACAGTTATTTACAATAGACCATTAATTTTTTAAAATAGATCAGCTTGATTTTACTACGCAATGCTCAAAATATTAAGAATGAGAAGAATGAGAAGGGGAATTAAACCTTTCTTTCTTTAATTGTAAACTTGTTTTGCTTTAACAAACGAACTTAACGTTATAAAAACTAATTATTGCATTTCTGTAAATGCTTTAAACATTAACCTAATTTATACCTCAAATTGTTATTTAGAGTAAAAACAAGCAGTGTATTTCTGAAACAAGTTGATCTTTGTTTTGTCTTTAGACACTTAGTGGATCCAGTGACATACAGGATGAAGATGATGTCACAGAACTTTTGAATGCTATCTCAGCAGCAAATGGCAGATCATCGCCTCCTGCAAATCATGTCCAACACAAACCACCAAAATTACAAAAGAGAGACACTGACTCTGTGTTATCATCTTTACTTGCATCACTGGAACCTCCTCCTTCACCGCCTGAATCTCTGCACTCTGTAGATCCACAGGAATTTGACTCACAGTGGGAAAGTGGCTACAGTGACAATGATGCTACTCCTGATCTTGTGCCTAACAAATCCAGACATTTCTTTCAGAGTGGATCTAGTTCATCAGCAAATCAAAGCAGTTCATTTGACGATAGGAAAGACTTACAGGAAGCTGCTAATGCTGCACAGCCAGTTAATCAAGTGCAAATCAATGAACTTAGTTCTATATCAGACAATGATAATGCCCAAGACAATAGTAACAATACAGATGATAGCAGTGACAATGACGATGATGACGTTGATATTGATGATGAAGATGTATTTGACATGCTAAGAGACAACAGCCAGATTGTGATCGGCATGCTGAACAATACCAACACTGAATCAGAGGAAACAAACGTTGTAGGAGACAAGAATAGTACAAGAGGCAATGACAGTCTTGTACCCGGGAATTCTCTTGATGCGACAGGGCTCTCTGATGTTCCACCACCGATCCCTACCACACCACTTCCCTCAGATGATGAAGAACCACCTGTCAAGCCACCACCTAGAGTGGAATCTCTACCAAAGCATTCAGCAAATATGGATTTGAATTCTAAACCAGTCATGAACGGCACCATTAGTGGACATGGCAGGTATGGAAATGAGTCTGAATACTTAAAGGAGCTATGTCAAGGTTTGCGTATCTTGAAAAGGTCAGCACAAATTTTCAAGCTCATAGTTTGTTATCCATGTTAATCTTCTCCATCCTTGACCATCCTCATTCCTTTTTGGTTTATTATTATCTCTTCAGTGGTGTTTTTCTATCGTAGTAAACTTTTATTTTTAGGTTTCTTTCGACTTAAAGGTGATTTTGTACATGGCCAAAATAACTCAAAATATTGTGACTGAGCTCCTTGAAGAAATTAAATTAATCCTTTTATTATAATGTAATTCTTGCTTGTGGGTCAGTTTTCCAGAGTTCCAATCCTGACATGAACTATAACCTACTTGTCTTGGTACATTTCCAGTTTGTCAGCCCCTTTAACAGTCAAGTTCCTTACATGTAACAACTACCTTATTATATGTTGATAAGTTAGTGAGAGACATTAAGTACTGGTGTTACCATTGTTAAACAAACTTTATATATTGTAGTGGCAGTGACGAGCCTCCGGAACCAACGGAACCATTGATTGATGTGGTTGAAGGTGGCATGTACACAGGGCAAAGTCTCGACAACCTCATCAGAAGTTTCAGGGAAAAACTAGACTCAAATGTCCCTGCTGAAGAGTTTAAGGTGGGTGCTAGTACAAGTACTCTAACACTGGCTGAGATTGTTTGAGTTTGTCGAGGAAGATATTACTGAAGATACATGTAGTAAGCTTATATTTTGTCTCTACAGTCGGGTGAACAAGCCTTGCATTTTTTTTCCCTTTCCCTCATACACTTGTTTGAATGTGAAACTGAGGCACTTAATAAATTTTAATTATTTCACACAGTTTCAGGGTCTTTATTTTTCCACAAAACTTAAAATAAGAGTGACAGTTTTACCATGCAGGTACTTCCTCCAACTCAGTAAAAATGATTGTCTTGCTGCACTGTACTGTGACCACTTTCTCTCATCAAATACTCCTTCCACTGGATTGTTTCTGGATTTATTTTGTGGCTTATCCAACTGCCCATTAACAGGACCATAATATTTTGACCCTTTGATGGCTCTATGACGGATGGTTCATTATTCAGTAAAGTGGTATGATTGTGTTTGTTCTGGTCTGAGATGTTGTCACAAAACAGATGGAAGGAGGTGAAGTGATGTTGCTAGGTTCTTTTTTTTTTTTAATTTAACAGCACTGGATTGAGGATGCAAAGAAAGTTAATGGTTTATAACTTAAGCTAGTGTTAGTTTACATTGACTAGCTTGGGTAGACTACGAGTAGTCCCTCTTTCGCTTAGTCCGTTGTGCGTGACGCAAAAGAAAACCGCGAGAAAAAAATGGCCACGCAAAATCCTGGAGGCGAGAAGCACACGAAAGGAGGGACTATCGCCTAAGCCCAAGAGTTTGAATTATGCGTTGCTCTCACAACGCAAAAATATGAT